GCCAATGCTCCACTTGGGAACACCTCGCAGCAGACGCGGATAGCGGTACGAATTTGTGGTGCCAGGTCTGAAACCACCACCGTGCGCTTTTAAGAGTGAGTAATGAATGTTTGGAACAGTTTGTCGGAGCGTATATTAGAAGCAATATTGGTTATATATTTTCCAGTATTCGACTCGAGAAAGATTATACACTGAGGTTGATATCTCACATTTGTGGGTCCCAATTTATTGCGAGTTATAAGTTGGCGTTTACGATTTCATATGAAATCTTGAGAATCGATCATTGTATTGACAGGTCATGCAAGTTTGCTATCAGTATTTTCATGATATTTTGATGGAGTTGTGCATATTTAAATCCTTAACTAATACAGTATTCCAGAGAAGGAGTAGGGGGAGTTGCATGGTACAGATAGAAATTCATCACATCTAGACTCACTCAGACAGACATCACACGCCCGGAAAAGTACTGTACGCGCGATTCATCCTTTCGGGAATCGTCAGCAGTGCGCATTCCATCCGACCCCGATAGGGCACGCACCCGCAACTCGACCGTTGCCAGTCCGTGGTTGAGACCATTGCGCTACGGGGGATGGCAACGACCATCGTGAATAAGTTAATGGATGTGATATAGCGCCGCTCACTACTCGATAACTTGCATGTTACTCTCCTGCAGTACACAGACCAAACTGTCTATAACGTCTTTAGTTCGCGGCTCAAGTTTGGTAAGTTCACCGCTTAATGAGGGGCTACCCTGTCTTCTGCATGGCAAGAAATACAAGTCATTGGATAGGAGATGGCCCTATATCACATCTAGTAACTAACTTACAATGGTCGTTGCCGTCCCTCGTATCTCAGTGGTCGCAACTTCTGACTGGTAACAATCGATTTGCGGGTTCGAGCACTACCAGAGTCGGATGGAATGCGCTCTGCTGATGATCCCCGGAGAGATGAAACTGCCACACTGTGTTTTTCCGGGCGTGTGATGGCTGTCTGAATGAGTCTAGATGTGACGGATTTCTAGCAAGAGAGTATTCAGTAGACGAATAAGCGGGTTTCTCTGTTGAAACCTTGACTACGACAGTCCAACAGAACGAATGCTCTTGACAGTCTTCCCGCTACAGGTGTTAAAATCTGTCTACGACATCTGCGACTTCCATTTTCTACCCTTTAGCTAGCGCGATTGTATGTTTTGGCCTTGAACCTATATCTCACCGAATCTAGCTGTTTTCTCGCGTATTCCATAATGTAGCGAGAATGAGGCGTTAGGGAGGCACGGTCATTATTGCTAACGAACAGCGGTTTCACAAATTAGCAGTCACGCGTGCACATACAGAGGACATTTCCAGTCCAACACGCAGCATACAATGTCCTTTCGCTCGGCGTCAACTTCATGCCCCTTATTTCAGTGAGTCCGCAACTTGCTTTTTTCACCGATTTGCCTTCGTGTTCACTTCCACTCGCAGTATTCTGACCCGGCTGGGTTTGTTCTGATGCTGTTGACTCGTTTACTCAGGGTTGCGTTGCTCTTCTTGGAGCTATTCCTGAATGCGTGGCCGAAGGCCTATCTCTCTGGAAAATCGGACTTTCCACCACTACGTATCCGGCTCTACTGGGCCTGCCCTTGATATCGATGACCCTGAGACCTGCCCGGAAAACATACTTGCTTCTGGGCTGAGAATATAATATAGGTTCCTTTGTCGGTGTTGTAAAATAATTCAACGAAAGCAGTAAAGGCGGAATTTGTTTGCCTTGCTAGAGGTGTATCTCCTAACATTGATCAGAAATGGTACAGACTGTGGAGTTCGGTAAGGACGGTGCACGTCGAACTCACTACAGCCACTTGGGTATTTGCATACATGGAAGCGAAGTGCGCCGTCAACGCGGACGTGCACTCAACGCTGGAGGTTAGGGGCTATCCGTTCGAGTCATCTAGCACTGATTTGTCGACTGCCGGCTTCAGGCGACACAAAGTATCTTTCAGGCGTTCCTTCAGACGGTTGCTTGTGGTTCTTCGAGATATCGACGCTTGATCATTTTCGCACTGTTGTAATTAGTTCGCTGCCTTGTATATGCCTCCTAATTCTCGATCGAGCCAGAGAGAATATGTCCCACAATCTGCGCCACCGCTGCACCAGTTTATTATATTCCTTGTCGAGGCAACAGGTCTTGACCTGTTCGAAGTTCAGTCATCTGAGAGACGCGAACCGGTTACACAATGAGTTTACCGCATTCTTTTGACAGACAATCAGGCTTCAACAGATGTAGTTTGCGGCGGAGACCGATCCATTTGCATCGCGGCTCGAGTCAGACCGTCTTGTTACATCTTGAAGCTATAATTTCGGAATATGTTACACAAGTTATCGCAGTCAAATATGTAACTCCCTAAGTTGCCACAGTCTTCAAGCATATGGAGCGAAAATTGGTAGTTCCTCTTGTTTGGGCGGTGATTGTGCTGTTTACTGGTCCTGGTAGTTTTGTTTTAAACGTTTAAGCACCAATCGGTGTGATTTGGATGTATCCACGGACGCCGCGGATTTTTGGATTACTGTGTTGGATTCCACTTTTTCTTCGGGATTACTGTGTTACATGTGATATTTCTGTGTGAATTGTACACCAATAATATCGAGTTGATGTATTTTTCAATCTGTGATAAGTTGAAGGATGTTCGCTAGCTAATTTGGAGTTCTCATTGATTGGCTCAACTACCGTCTGCGTTCGCCATCTTGGATTTACTCTGCGGTAATCGGTTGTCATGACCACCACACCGGTAACCCGAAACGATTTTGTGCTACTCGAACTAGTGCTAAGGTAGTAAAAGAATGGTTGACTTGTACAAATTGTCAAGAACGGTACCATTCGAAATAAGTCAACGTCTGTAGAACGGCCGCATTCACTCTGCTTCTATCCGAAGTGCACGACAGTTTCACTGGTAAAATGCATAGTAGCGTTAACACAAAGTTACGACAGCCTAGTCGTAGAAACTGAACATGGTTTGGATGCAAAAATTGCTTCGCTTGAGACGACAATAGAGTATCTTGTACCTCATCCATTTCCCACAATTGCTACTTCGAAACCACGGAAAAGGGCCAGGCGTTCACACAGCCACATAGCACTAGAATCCTTGGGAACCACGAACGAAGTCGTCATCGTGACTGATAAAAGCATGCGTAGTCCCACCGCCCACATCCACTTTTCTAATGTATCGACTGATGCAAAATAGGTAGCACCCACCATTCCGATTAACCAAAGAAATCCCAAGCGCAGTTAAGACAGATCCAACTTTCCAACCGTTGCTGCTCGGTATAATCAAAGTGCGACCTCAGTAGCTTTACCCAGGACAGCCACAAAACGGGTCAATTACCAGATACAACCTGCAGTAACATCACTAAATCCCTCGATAGCCGTGCTTCCCACATCACCGAAGACCAGACAGAACTACGGGGCCTGCGGACTGAAGATAGTGGAATACCGTCACTCGGGGTGACTATGGGCCAACATGTTAACAATATTTTCCAATTTTCCCCTGGTTATTTGTTACAGATAACCTTTTTTCGTCTGGATTAACTTCTATAATTTATGCCTGCAAGTGAACATAACATTAGAACCGGGGAAATATTTGATGTAGAAATACAGTCCAACGAAGAAGACTACCCCCACATGTAGACATTTGCTGTGTGGAACCACTTGTTGTAAATGTGTATGTTACAAGCAGCAACAATAGATGGTTCAAAAACATGCAGAAAACATTAATTTCTAATTACAAAAGTTAGTTATATGTTGTGTTAATAATTTAACTAATGTTTTAGCATAGTAGGACTGGGGGTCATAGTCGCCCCAGTAACCATAGAACTAACCAGTGTCAGCGTGTAAACCTCCTTTACCCTATACCGTAAAGAAAATGTTTTTTATGTTGTGTGACTATCGGAAGACTGTGCTGTCTGAGTTTGTTGTTGAAGCTAAGTTTGCTGTTTTATTATTTTTCCAGGCTTATCCTAGAAGCCCAAGCTAATCCAACTATGCCTAGAAGATACAAATCGAAACCTGGAGCTCGCCCACACTGCACTGTCTCGTCAGGCACCATGGTTCAAGCCATGGAAGACTACAGCAAGTCAGCGCGATCTGTTTAAAATATATGGCATAGCACGGCCTTCGTTCCAAAACCATCTCAGATTGGACATGTTTGCGAAGACTGTAAAGAAACCTGGTGGCCAGACTGCGCTCTCTGCTGAGTTAGAGATTTCCCTAACGCAGTACTTGATGCAGCTGTCCAGCTGGGGATTTCCATTTGATACAGTGCATCTCCGAATGCGTGGGAAGAGAATTTTGGACAAGAAGGGAATATCTGTGCCGTTGTTTAAAGCCAATGTACTTGGTGAGTACGGGTGTAGCGGTTTTATGGACAGATACAAGGAAAAAATAAAAAAATTAGAATGTGTCAGTATATTTCTCGCAAGAAGGCAGAAGTTAACAGAGAAAGCATTGAGAAATTTTTCACTGAGCTACAATGAAGCCTTGATGGTGTGTCGCCAGAAAACATCATAAACTATGATGAGACGAATCTAATTGATGACCCTGGACGCAAGCGTCTCATCTTCAAGAGGGGAGTTCGTTATCTAAAAACAGAAGTGAATTCAACTAAGACATCCACGAGCTTGATGTTGGCAGGATCCGCTGCTGGTAAAATTCTGCCAATATATGATATCTACAAATCTGAACATCAATAGAGCACTTGGATTGAAGAAGGCCCACACAAAGTCAGGTTCAATCGATCCACATCTGGCTGGTTTGACCATATCTGCTTCGTCGACTGGTTCAGATCAGTGCCTCTGCCCTGCTGTAAGAGTTTGGAGGGGAGGAAAAGTTTAATAGGTGGTAATTTGTCATCACCGTTCAGCAATGAAATATTGGTTCAGTGTGACAGAACTAACATTTCATTTGTGCTTCTGCCTCCAAATGCAACACATCTTCTGCAGCCATTGGATGTTGCTTATTTTGGACCAATGAAAGCTAAGTGCTGGTGCATTCTGACAGAGTACAAGCTAGCAAAGAAAAATAGTGCGGGAACGAAATCAAAAGATGTGTTCTCAAAGTTGCTGAAAAGGCTCACAGTTGAACTGTCAAACCAAGAAGAGAACCTCAAAGCAGGCTTTAAAAAGTGTGGTATTTATCCCTTTGACAAAACACCTGTACTCAACCGTTTACCACAAGAATCACTCAACGAGAAACTCAACAATACTGTGTCTGAAATGTTTACAGAACATCTAAAACGTCTTCGCAATGATGACAATGACGGGCCAGCCAGGAAGATGAGAAGGAAGAAGCGTGAGGTAGTTCCTGGGAGGAACATTGTTGCCCCTCAAGATCAAGAATCTGTTGCAGAGGCAGTTGCAGGAAGGGCAAAGCCAGAAACTGCGGAGGTGACATTTGTGTCAGATGTTCCATCGGATGAAGAGCTGAACCTGTCCAGTGAAGGCGAGTGGACACCCGCTGAACAGGCCAGGAACAGGAGCATATTTGATTATTTTCACTGAAATAAATCATACTATCCTCTCGGTACCACTAAATGTATTGTATCAAGTTTAACAAACTTATCAATTGTTATTTCCCCATGCTAGTTTTTCATACCAATATTAGTGGTACGCACTGGTACTTCAAAAAATGTTGGGTTGTGTGTGTAATAGAAAGCTGCAGTTTCAGGTATTGCATTTTAGTGGCCATTGACACCCCAGTGTAGGTATCAGTTTAGTTATAATAGAGCTGATGTTGTTCGGCCGAAGTCACCAGGGTGACTTTGGACACCATCACTTATGCTCCTATTTACTTTAAAAATGTTTCTGTATGACTAAATGCCATCACAACGCATTTTACTATGCTCCCCTGAAATAAAGAAAAAAGTTAATTGAATTTACAAAATTTAAGGTGTTTTCCAACAATGTTTCTCAAAAGTGGACCATAGTCACCCCATATTACTGTACGTATATTTCCGGATGTTCCATAGAGCGAACGCCACCGGGACAAAAATAATCCAAACGACCATCACACGGAGAGTAGTAAAACATTTATATTCGTTCATGGTGTGCCCGAGCTACTGACAACCAGGAACGAAGAAGCCCACGCTCATGACCTAGAAGAATGGCATTACATCCGTAAAGCTCTGTGCGTGTAATGTCATACTTCCGTCGATTATACGGTTACCCGTATCACCCAACTACAAAGGAATTGGCCCGAGGATACCTAAACTAACGGTGCAGTCAAACAGATGGCCGAGAAATTAATCCGTAGCTAGCAGTTGTCAAGGGACCTTCCGTGTAGCAAAAAGGCAAAACCTAGACATAGATCAGATATATATTATTCATAGAACATAAGCTAATTAGATATATCGCGCCAATTAGAACCACTCACAAACACATATTGCTATTTATTCTCGGCCAGCTTCAGCGCTTCTTTCTTGTACATCTCAGTCAGTTCGCCTCTTATAGCGGTCTACCAACCTTCAGAGTGTTGGTCCGGAATCATTTAGCTCCATCGATGGCTAAATAACTGGCATCCTAATGTGGCGGCTTACCACCACAGCATTTCCAGTCACCAGCATTGCCAGCCCTCAACACAACCTTTCCCTTTTCGTTTTTTAGAATAGCGTTACAGTGTGTTCCGTATTGCCTTCCACTTCTGGTGCATTTAATGTCGTGGGCTTGGATAGCCGTACTACTCTGCGGTATTTTGCTGCTCCTTCCATTGCGGTGTCCACCCATGACGCGCTCTTCTCAGTTGTACCCGATTCCTTCGAAGGACATTGCCCCCAATCTTGACTTCATAGCCCCTCTCTCCCTTCAGGCATTCGATTACTCGCTTCCGCCAGTATCCTTTGGATTCCGGTACTGGCTGCACCCATACTTCTTCTCCCGTAGCTAGTGGTGGGAGGCTTTTCGATCCGCGATCATAGTACTGCTTTTACCTTAACATTCTGTTCTATAGTCGGTCGTGACTAATGTCGGCCGGCGCTATCTCGGGATGCAGTAGAGTTGTAGTGGTCAGTATTACCGTTCTTGTTCGGCAACTGAATATGCGATGTGCAGGACTCGCTCCGATATCAGTAGATGGTGTGTTCTTTCGATCCAGTAGCATCATGTAAGGATCTTCCTGGGTCTCCTTGGCTTTTTTAAGCACTTTCTTCCCCTCCTTCACTGCGGACTCTGCATTACCGTTTGATTGGCAATAGTATGGGCTGGTTAACAGGTGACGAAAATCTCACTTCATGCCGAATACACGAAACTCTGCACTATAAAAGTGCAGCCCGTTGTCGGAAATCACCACCTCGGGTATTCCATGTCGAACGAATTTGCACCGCAACCTGTCTGCCTACTACTCGTCGTAAGAGCATGGATATTGAAGCAGTCAATAAAACAATCTACCACAATCAAATAGCTTCTTCCATCGTGAGAAAAAATATCTAGTGCAGCCATCTGCCAGGGTCTGTCAGGCACGTCACGTAGCATCATCGGTTCTTTTGGCTGGCGCACCTCGTGTGCCCTGCATGCTACACAATTGGAGACGTAGTCACGTATTTGGCTGGTCATTTCGGGCCAGAATAACAGCTCTCTAGCTCTTACCACGCAGTTGTTAGTTCCTAAATGTGCACAATGTATCAGCTCCAGCATCGAACGCTGCTGTAACTTTGGAACCACTATGCTTTTGACTTTGAACACTAGTCCACCCAGTGTAATGAGTTCGTCGAGAAAATGGAAGAATAAAGTCAGCTCTTTAGGTAGCATTTTCTTATCTTCGTGCCATCCATTCGTGATCATGTGCTTCAGTAGCTTGCACAGTTCGTCCTTATCAGTGGACCGTTGGAGCTGCTACAAGCGTTCTTCCGTGACGGCGATCAGCTGTGTTGCATGGACAAAATCTGGGTCTGCTTCCTTTCCTGGTGTGTCTGACAGGTGCACTCTTGACAGCGTGTCCGCAATGTGCATCTGGGATCCTGGCCGGTAGACAATCTCTAGATCATAATTCTGAAGACGAATAAGCATCCTTTGCAGATTTCGTGACACAACATGGAGCGGCTTACTGGCGATCGACACTAGGGGCTTATGATCGGTAAAGACAGTGGATTTGCGGCCAAACGTATAGTCATTGAAAGCTCCGCGGCGTAAACCAATGCAAGCATTCCTTTTTCTATTTGCGCGTAACGCCGCTCGGTCTCTGTCAGCGTCCGGCTGCGAAAGTCGATAGGTTTACCATTCTGCATGAGTACGGCTCCGATACCAAATTGACTCCCGTCACATTGGATCGCGAGTGCGAACGCTAAGTTATGGTAAGCGAGAACGGAGGCGCTCGTGATCAGTTCCTTTATTTTCTAAATTGCTTTCGCCTGCTCCGCGTCCCAATGCCACTTCTCACCCTTATGCGTCAGTTTTCGAATCGGTATCATTGCATCGGCTAATCTGGGCAAGAAACGACTTAGGTAATTCACCATCCCATTCAGTCTGCTAACGGCCTTCACGTCAGTAGGAGGAGGCATCTGTTTGATGGTCCTGACTCTGGGTCTGGTTGCAATCCATCGGAGCTTAGCACGTGTCCATGAAACAACACTTCCGTCCTACGCAACTCGGTTTGCTCTCGTTTTAGCTTGATGTTCTTTTCAAAACAGCGCTGCAAAAAGCTGTCCAGGTTCTGGTCCTGCTCCTCTCACGCAGCGCCAAAAACCAAAACGTTGTCTGCTAGACAGATCGTTCTTGGTAAATCGTCTAAAGTCTGCATCAGTCGTTTCTGGATTATCTCGCTAGATACCTTCACTCCAAACGGTAAACGAAGCCAGCGCAAAACGCCCGAAAGGTGTCCCAAACGTGGTCAGGTAGATTGCCTCTTCGTCAAGTAATACATGTCAAAACGCCGAAGTAAGGCTGAATTTTGTGAATATTCTAGCTCTGGATAACATCGGAAGTAGGTCGTCTAGCGTCGGTAGCGTATAATGCTCCCTCCTGAGCGCGGCATTAATTAGTTTTGGATCAGTGCACATGCATAGTTCTCCAGATTTATTAGTGGCAATGGCCACCTAGCTAACTCAGTCGGTCGGCTCCTCAACTTTGGCTATTACACCCAAACTGGCAAGACGATGCAGCTCGCCTAACAATTCCTCAGGTAAGGCACGTTTCTGGTCGGCAACATTACCGGGTTAGCAGATTCGATTAAAGATAAATGAGCACACCAATCGAATCGCTCTACGACCCCGTCAAACACGTTTGGGTACCTATCTACAATATCCATGCTAGTTTCATACGAATGGACAAAGCTTTCATGGTTAAAAGAAACAAAGCCGAGACTTTAAATAGAATCAATGCCCAAAATGGGCATAAGGTCTCCTGAGACCATCAGAAAATCCAGTGGGTGCTCTGTGTTGTTTCTCGGATTGGTGGTCTTCAACTTGGCAGTACCTTTCAGTCGCAGCTTTGAACCGTTCCACATTCTGAGGCAATTCTGCGTTCTTTCACATGTCGCTTCCAGACAGTGCTTCTCAGTTAGGATATTGACAGTAGCCCCTGAGTCCAGTTGGAAGCGCACCGGTCGTCCTCGAATCAAAAGCCTCACAAAAACGCACGTATGTTCACCACGATTTTCCAACTTGCTTATCGAAAATTCATGCATCTGTTTGTTGACGCTCACGACCACTGAGCTCATGTTGGCAGATCTACAACAGCGAGCAAAATGGTTCTTCTTGGAACATTTTGTACACGTTTGACCCCAAGCTGGGCAACTCTCCTTTCTTTTTCGGTGCGTACGACCGCAAAACCGACAACTCGGACCCTGTACCTCGGGCGTCTGGGGCGGACTGATGCTGGTTCGGAATACCGCGCACGGATCGGTGTTTGCTTCCGCTCTCACATGCTCGAACTGCTGCGCCTTCCTTGCTTCACTCAGGCAGATATCCACATATTGTTCCAAAGACAGATTCCTTTGTCTCAGAAGGCGCTGAGTGAGCTCATCAATCTTTATGTCAATGACAATGCGATCACGTATAAAGGACCCGCATGCAATTGCAGAGTTGCAGTTACGCACCAACAGTTTAAGTTCTGTGATGTAAGTCCCAAAGGATTCGCTTGAAAAGCGATTGCGACCAAAAAATAAATATCTGTGATAGGTTTCATTTGCCTGTCCTTCGCAAAACGCCCCGAATCTTCTCATCACTTCCGAAAGCATGACTTCCTCACCTGCCTCAATCAGCTCCACTCTCTAGACAACCCTTCTGGCCTCATCACCCACAGCGTGCCTGAATATCGTCAACTGGTATGCCATCGTTTGAGTATCCAACTGGGTCAGCGTGATGAAATCCATCCACTTTGCCTTCCACATTCTCCAGTTCTCTGGCAGCGTGCTTACAGACATCTGCAGAGCGGTCAGCACTGGGATCGATGGATATCCATAAAAAATGAGCGGGTTCCGGCGCGTCGAACTCTTTTTCTCTGCCGCCATGTCAAGTGGAAGTTCGTGAAGTTAAAAGTCAAAGTCTGGGACTCGATCAGAAATACATTAT